GGCGCCAGCAGCACCAGCCGGCGCCGGTCGGCAGCCCCTCCTGCCCGGTGCGGGGAGAACGGCGCCGCCATCCCGGCCTCTCCAGCGGCTCCACCACCCGCGGAGCTCCCAGCGCCCTCGGAGCGCCCGACTCGGCCACCGAGGCCCCGCGCCGTCCGCCACAACGTCTCCGCGCATGCGCGGAGTCACTTCCACAAGCACTTCCTTCGAGACCCGTTGCTAGGGAACAGGACGCCTCAACCACCCAGCCGCTTCCGGTCTGTTCCTGCCGCGTTCCTCCGCTCAGCGGAATGAAGTACGGGACGTCTCTCTGTCCTAGGCTTAGTGCGTGCGGAGCGTTTTACCGTCCACGCAGCCTTTTCGGCATCAAGACTTCACCGGCTGCATCTGCTACTTCTACAGTCCAAGAAGATACGTACTTAAGGAGCCGGCGAAAGGGAGAAGAGGGACAGAAGGCTGCCGCGAGCAGACACGCCAGAGGAGTGGCCCGCGGTGTGGCAGCGAGTCTGAGCAGCGGACACCACGTTTCCGCAGTTTGGGACGCGTGATTGTATATCCGCCGGCTCGCCAGCTGCTGCGGGAGGATGCCGAGGTCGGGCGCCCCCCAGCACCTCGCCTTCGGCCGAACCTGAGGCTTCGAGGCCAGCTGCTAAGCCAGCGTTTCTGGCCTCTGAGCCAGGCAGCGCTCGTGCCTGACAGCAACAGCATCGTCAGCAGCATGGAGGACTTTGGGGATGATCCTTGAGCTCTGGGGCCACAGTGCACCTGTGCTTGAAGTCAGCTTCCACTGCGATGAGAGCCTGCTGCCTCCACTGACACCAGCAGGTCGGACGCATGTTCAGCGTCTGGGGTGGAAAAAAAGACGTAGGGACCTATCCGCCCTGTGCTGACCCCGGCCCACCTTCACTCCGCCTCCCTTGTGTTGTAAATAAAGTTCTTGTAGCTGTGCTAAGGGCCAGAGGGCAGCCTGGGGAGCCTGTAGCTCAGGGTCCACCTGCTCATTCATGTGATGACGTGTACATTCGTGCAACAAGCGCTTAATGTCTGCGGTGTCACAGTGTTTGCACAGTCATGCGGTCGAAGGCCATATCGAGCACCGGCTGTGTGCCAGAAACTGTGGTAGGCACGCGGAACACTGCTGTGACCTAGACTGACGGAAATCCCTGCCCTCACAGCCTTGCATCCCAGGGAGGCAAGCAGGTCATAGGCAGAAACATAGTCAGTCTTTGATTTACCATGATTCAACTTATGATTTTTCAAGTTGACAATTTTTAAAAGTTTTTTATTTATTTTTTTACTTTATGAAGGTGCAAAAGTATACCCATTCAGCCAGTCTGGTTTTCACTTTCGGTACAGTGTTCAATAAATGACACGAGCTAAACAGAGAATGGTGGTGCACACCGGTAATCCCAGTACTCAACAGGCTGAGGCAGGAGGATCACCATGAGTTCTAGACCAGTCTGGGCTACATAGTGAGTTAAAGGCCAGCCTAAACTGCATAGCGAGACTCTGTCTCTAAAGCAAAACAAAAGTAAATGAGAAACAAAAGGAAGACATGAGCTTTTCAATATTGTATTATAACATAGGCTTTGGATTGACTATGATGGGTTACTGTAAATTCTCCGAATGGGTTCAGAGGCAAACATCAGAGATCATACCGGTTCCAAAATTGTCCACTAGAGGGTGCTACCCACCCTTGTATCATCTGTAGTAGCTGTCTCCTGGCTAAATTTTGTGATTTCCAATAATTTGTATTCTCCCTAACTTCCTCAGAATTTATGAATGAAGCACTTTTAAAACCAAGCACCTGAAAAGCAAAATAAATCTGTACAATGGGTTGCACAGATAAAAGGAGAAACTTAAAAGCAGCTCCAATGCCCTCCCCTGGCAATGCTTCCTATCAACACGAACGTGAAGGGGCTTTTTGAGCTAAACCTACTACTTGAAAACTGGCAGAAGAAAAAAAATCCCTGCAAAGAGAGAACTCCTAAGCTTAATTGAGTAGGGCATGGCAGCGCATGTCTGTAACCCCATTTACTTGGGAGGCTGAGGCACAGAGGATCACTTGAGCTTAAGAGTTCAAGACCAGGCAGGAGGAGAAGGAAAAAAAAATATCCAGTGTGTAGGCTGATACCTATTTACATTTACACTCTGTCAAAATCATCTATACTATTATGTAAATTGTCATTCCATAAGTATTCTCTATGATAGGATTTTACATGAGAAACATAAGTAAAAGAATATTTACTAACTAGCATGATACCTGTGCAAGTGGCCTAACTCTTGCCCCTTCTGTGAGCCACTGTATCCCACTGAAACAAAATGAAACACAAAACTTGATTTCATTGCCTTTGTTCATTTTGTTGTTGTTGTTGGGTACCGGGAATCGAACTCAGAACCTCATGCTTGCCAGGCAGGTGCTGTGCAACTCAGCTAAATCCCTGGCCAAAACACAAAACTTGAAAAGAGATGTTAATTCTTAACAAAAGTCTTGATCCAGAGAAGGCTTTTAAACTTGAGAAATGTCTGGGCTACATACGGAGTTCAAGGCCAGACTGAACTACATAGTGAGACCCTATCTAAAAAAAAAAACATTGAGAAATGATAGAAATTTTCAGCTGATTATATGAAATTTAAGATTATGTACTAAAATCCACAATATTAAAGGACAAGTGACAAATTGGGAGTAGATACAGAAAATAGGACAAAGGATTAGTATTTTTATGTAAAGAACTGTATGAATTACTTTTAAAGTTAAACTGTGCTATTTAAAATCACTTAAAATAGTAATGATCTTGGACAGTCTCAGATAAGCAAATCAACAGAAATGGAAAGAATTAAATTGGCTAATAATCATAGTAATGCAAATATTAGCCACAAATTATCATTTCCCTACAAAACTAGCGAGGATTGTGAAATTTGCAATATTTTGATTTTAGCAAAAACAAGGCGGCTCACTCTTTCCTTGGGGTATATATTAATAATGAACTTTTTGCAAAGAATTTGGTGATTGTAAAACCCATAATAGATAAGCCCAAGAACTGTTTCAATTCCCAGAAAGTGCTAAGACCTTTTGACTTGATACTTTTCTATTTAAGGAAATAATTCAAAATATGGAAACAGAGGTATACACAAAAATGCTCATACTGACACTACACATATGTTACTCAGGCACACCAATCTAGAGTTTGGAATGAGGTCAACACAATAACAATAAAAAGCATGCTTCTGTCTGCATCTGCTCCATAAGCTCTCTAGCTGCCTATAAACTATTGTAAAGAGTAGTGCATTCTATCACCTGGTTGTCTTAGTTACCTGATGGCACCTGCTGTGTCTCATGTTAGTATATTTTCTGTGACTGCATTTATGAGAGAGTTGGCTATGCCACTATGGCCATCGCAGGTGTTGATGTTAGTACTGACTGCAGATGTGGTCAGTGCTCAGTACGGAGGGTACCGGTGGGAATCAGCTTTCTGGCTGGATCAGAGTGCCAGCATACATGCCTGTGTGACTTTTGAATGTGGTGGTTTCTTAAGGTAAGAATTGCTTACTGTCAAGCTTTCAGAGTTGTCAATGACAAAGACAAAGGAGATAAACTTGTTTAAATTTATGTATGATCTCAAATGCACACATTTAAATATCTCATGATTTCTTCTATGTGAGAAGCCCATAATATAAGTAAAGAGGAAAATAAAAGATAGATAGTAGGAAATAACAAGATAGATCTTTTGCAAATGGGAAGGGAACCAAGAGGGGAGGAAGATGAGGCAAGGGGAGAAAAAAGAGTGGAGATGTACTATGTGCATGCACTGACTCCTCCTGTGGAGTGTATTCCTTACGTACTGCAAGCATGTACTAATAAAAAATAAACATTAAAGACAAAAGGCAACTAAAGACAAAAAGCAATGCATATACATGCTATGTCTCTTGAAAGCAAATAACGTGCTTTGTAAAGGTTTGCTAAGTAAAGTTAGTGATGGTCAGGGATGTCCAAACCACAGAAGCTCTGGTCCCAAAACTATATATACTTAATATGAAAAATTACACTTACTAAAGCTGTGAGCCAAGTGTGGTAGCACACAGCTAGACCCGCACTCAAGAGACTGAGACAGGAGGATCGCCACGAGTTCAAGACCAGCCTGCGCTACACAGTGAGTTCAAGGCCAACCTAAACTGCACAGAAGACCCTGTCTCAAAACAAACTACTAAACAAAGTCTCTGATATTTTTCCCTCTAAACTATCAACTTTGTTAATCGCAGGAAATTGAATTTGTTCACTAACATTGTGATCATATCTGGCCCATGGCCTCTTTGGTCTTGCATAATTAATCTAACCAATATTTAAATTGTTTAAGATATTTTGTCAGACAGAAAAGTCTCCAACTATGAGTGCAGACTTTTTTTCTTGAAGGGTATGCACATAAAATTGTGTTCATGGCTTAATCATTTTGAACACAGTGCAAAAGTCTTGTTTTCTCCCTAATAGAAAGAGACTAAAGTCATCTCTTTTATAAGGTGTGAAAAGAAAATCTGAGAAACCAAAATAATGGTGAGTTTTCAAGGCATTCTGTAGTAGAAGAGAGGACATGTTGATAGCAGTTCAATATCTAACTTTCCCATTTGTTCTTCTTTTTACACTGGGAGAATTATTTTCTGTTGTTTTTTTTTTTTTTTTCTTTTCGCTGTCAGATGAGTAAATCATCTGGTTCAAACCAAAACATACAAATATTACTTTCTCTCTTTCTAAAACCCTACAGAAAAACTAAAGTTGAAAAAAAGAAATCACCAAAGGAGAGTGACATAATTGCAACTCACATCATGCAGTTTTACCCTTGTGTGACTATTCTGAGATTGGCAGGGCTGGTGGAGGCAGAATATGCAGCATTGCATGTTCTTAGTTTATTTCTGGTGGGGAGCATGAGAAGCTTAACTCATGCTTCATGAGGAGTCTCTCACCTACCAAACCCTTGCCATCCTTTAAGCACAAGAGAGCTTTTGTTTTCTCTTCTGCGTAGTCCCACGCCTAAGCTCTACATCATCTGATTTTACGCTCCTTGACTTTCAATCACAGAACTTTACGTGACACATTTAACCTGTAGTTCTTGTTCTTCCTCCCTGGGAATAGCTCTGCGAAAGTCCCAGCTTTAGTATCTAGTTATCCAAAGCCAAGGCTGCC